ATAGTACCAATTATATTATTATTAAAGATAAGTATATTTGAGTTATTTTCGACAACTGACATAATTTGTGTCGTATAAATGTAGCAGAAAATTTGTGAACATGTTAAATATATTTTACTTGTTTATTATTATATATTAAATGATACGTTTTAATAACAAATGTATNACTTGTTTATTATTATATATTAAATGATACGTTTTAATAACAAATGTATAATACTTTTAGAGTCTTTTAAAGTATTACGAACTAATATTTATCTTATTGGTAATTATTCCCACGAAATAACTGGTAGTAAGTTATCATCAAATTTACAACTATTTAATCTGAACACTGATTTTTTGAAAATTGATCCATCATTTTGGAGTGCGAACAACAGTTACAAATTAAAAGAAATTTCCGAAACCCTATTTTACACTTTTTTGAGTGACATGTCAGACCGTGTCACTCTAATCGTTCTAGAACTTTGCCTAAATGTTCTAAATGCTTTTTTAAACTACTTGAATAAATAATTATATCGTCCAAGTAAACTTGGACAAAATCATCTAGATATCCTTCAAGTACATAATTCATAAGTCTTACAAAAGTCATGGGTGAATTTTTGAGTCCAAACGGTAGAACACGAAATTGAAAAAAGCCCCTTCTCGTTCTAAATGCCTTAAGCTTACGACCTTTTTGATTTCAAGAGCATTGCCAATAACCCGACTTTAAGTCGATAATCTATACATAAACGAAAAGTCCCGTTCTTCTTCTTGACCAGAACGATCGGTGCTGATNAAAGTCCCGTTCTTCTTCTTGACCAGCACGATCGGTGCTGACCACGGCGATACACTCGGTTCTATTAGCCCTTGCGCCTCCATGTCGTTTACCATATCGTCAATAACTTCCTGCTTATGTAAAGGGTAGGGGTACGGTTTTGTGCGATAGGAGCGGGTCTTTCAATAGAATGTCGTGTTCGATCAATTTTGTGCGACCCACCGTGTCATTAAAGACCGCTGCGTAATTACATATCGTCTGTGTAAATAACGTCGCCGGTTATATCTAACTGCGTCAGATGTGGTTTGCGGATCGCGTGTCGTGCGCCTGATTTCCAACAAGCGGTTGTACGTTTCTTAGTGCCTAAGTGTATTGTTCCTGCTGAGTAGTCCCAGGCAACTTTCTGATCAATCAGAAAATCACGGCCAAGTAATACGTCGCAATACAGGTCGTCTAAAATAACCGCTGAAAAACGCACTTCTAAATCCGCGATTTTGGCGGTACCGTTCGTCGTGGTGATGTGTCCGTCCACTAGTTTAACCGCGTCAGTGTGTCCTCTATAAATAGTTCCGTATTTATAAGCAATTACCGGTTTTACATACGATTTATGCGCCTGTAAGTCGAGTAGGGCTGTGACGAAGCCAGTTTCGAATTATAACTCGACCGCTGGAGTAGTAATTCTACGCGGGCATTTTCGTTAGCCATTACTCGGGTGGTTTACGGTTCGAACGGGGGGCAGCTGGTTCTTAACCGTGACGTCGGTTTGCCCACTGACAGTGTTAACTGATATTAGTGGACTTGCCGGATCGACTGATACCCCCTCCCCCACTGTGCCCGAACAAATTTCGAACACCTGACTCGCGCTTTGGTCGTTCGTGTCGGCAGCGTGTTCGAACTCCGATACCCTGAATACATCCGAATTTACCGCGGCGTCCCTTCCATTCCGATAAGAGGGGTGCGGTGCCGAAAAAGTGCCAAGATCGTTTTAAACGAAACGTCATCTAAAACAACGCTGCACCCTGTTTGGTTCTGTTCTAGGCGGAGGGGCGGACTAATTCCCTCCTAGCCGATTGCCTGTAACGTGACAAAAGTATCTATTTATTATTTTGTCTATTTGTATATATATATATTTGTGTTAAGCCGAATGCGAACTGCGACGGCGTTTGTCATTAAAATTTTTAATGGCGTCGGTTGAGCCTGTCTCCTATTCTTTAGCCCTTCGGGCTAATTTTTTTATTTTTATTTAGGTGCCCTTATTTTTTATTTAGATCCCGAAACATGACAGGCGTGTACAAGACCACCTGTCATATTATATCTATATTTTTTGTGATTTTTTTTATAGGTTTTAAATTTTATTTTATTGGGTGATGAATAGGTTATTAGTACAATGTGGTGACGTAGTGCATTTTATTCCGGATGTCCCAATGTCTTGCAAACGAAGTCTAACTGCCTAAAACCAGTCGCTTCCTTGGGACGTATACCCAAAGCCCTGATTAATAGCCGGTGGGTACCCGAAGACGTTCATCGTATTCTCTAATAATAAAAGTGTAGGTGTAACTATTTTTTT